ACGTGCTAAAAGTGCAACCGAGGATGCTGTGTTTCCATGAGGCTTTCAGGGTGGCTGGATAACAAGAGCTGAGAACAAAGTGAAAAGATGGCCAGCGATTCACAATGAGCTATGAAGCCCCTTGCGCTTCTGCAAGATTCGCAACGAAATCAAGGGGTATTTTGCAACGTTGCAAATATATATGCTAAGTATGCCTCCGCCGCTACTGACCAGAGAAACAGCAACGGCAGCAACAGCAGCAACAACAACAGCAGCAACAGCAACAGCCACAGGAACAGGCACAAGCACAGCCACAGCAACAGCAACAGGTAAGCAGCAGCAGTAGTTTCAGTAGTGGAGCCGCAGCCGCAGCCACTACAACGCCGACGGCCGCTACAAACACCAACAAAACCGCAACCACAACCACTATAACAAGCAATCCGATGGCAATCATGATGGTGGAATTTCGTGTTGAACTTCTGGGTGGCTGGTACTGCTGTGCAGCCCGAAGCACGTGATCTGATTGGTCAAAGTGCCCGGTGTCCAACGTCCGGCCAGAGGGTTAGCCTTGACTGTTGTTGGTTTCGGGCAAATTGTTCCGTGAACGGGATCCTTAAAGGGTTCTGTAAGGGATCTATAACCGAGGCATATGATATAGGGGCCTTAGTAATTGGAACAGGGGTTTGGGGCCCATCGTCCTATACTTTAGAAGGGACCCCCACCCTGTAATAGATTGTAATAGTGGTATAGGAATATAACAGGGCCCTAATACAATCCTTATAGTCACTACTACAGGGTTTTGGGGCCCCTTCTAAACTATACCCCGAACTCCAAAGCAAAACCTTAACCCAAAACCCTAAACCCTAGGGTGGGGGCCCTTCTAAACTATACTTGGGTGCTTTGTATTTTGCCACTCTCAGACGTCGGGTCCTCTAGGCTTGGAGCTCAACGAGCTGGGACAGTAATGTGCTTGAATAGTGATAGTCATAGCAATACTAACAATAGTAATGACAATAATAATGACAATAGTGCTGGTTTAATAATAATGATAAAAGTAATGGTAATAATGGTAATAATGGTAATAATGGTAATAATACTGATAATCAGAATGATCATCATAATAATGATAATATTAATAATAGTAATAATGAAAATTACAATGATAATGAGAATCAGAATAATACTAAGAATAATAAAAATAATGAGAATAATCATGATACTTATAATGATAATGAGAAGCAGAATACTAATAAGAATAATATTGCTAATGACAACGAGAATAAGAATGGACTCTGGGATTTTGGCAACCCCCCAAGCCCTTGCTCCTAAGATCCCAAACCAGGACCTGCTGCAAACGGGTCTAAGGTTTAGGGTTTAGGATTTAAGGCTTAGGGTTTAGGGATTTACGGTTTAAGGTTTAGGGTCTAAGGCTTAGGATTTAAGGTTTAGGGCTTAAGGTTTGGGGGTTTAGGCTTCAGGGTTTTAGGGAACCCTACATCCTACGCCCAGGCTGTTCAATGATGCAGCATGTGGAGATCCTGTCGAGGGCAAAGATTCCAACAATCCCCGACAAATTTAAATGGCCCGGATGCTTTTGGCAACCTCATCTTCAACTTGACGAAGCAACTAATGTCGGTCAATGCAATATGGTTCAGATAGGGGCCAGAATTTAGCGTAGGGTTTTTGGGGCGGGGGGTGGGGTACATGCTTGAAGCGCTGTAAATGCCTATAGGTACTTCCTCCCCCTAAAACGGTTGTTTGTCAGGGTCCCCACCTGAAACCCGCAGCCGGAAGGATACCTTGCCTTAGAATGCCTTGGGGCAATCAGTATCCTACCATATCATATCTTGGTGTTCATGCATTTTCATATACAGATACGCACATATATGCATACGTATGTGTTTAATTTGCTACATATGTACGAATTTATGTTTCTCTTTGCATTTAGGACTTATTTATGTATTGATTGACCTTGTGTATCTGTCTATGTTTGCGATACATACCTATTTCGACACGCTATGTCTGCCTATGTAGATTATGTAGATCTTTATCCAGATCCATATCTATATCCAGACCCATATCTAAATGTATTTCTATATCTTTGCATTATGTATAGACATATAGGTTATACCTTTGTTTATATAAATATATAAATATATATTGTGTATATATGTGCATATAATTAAATCATGAAGGTAGTATTTAAACAAGAATAACAATAAATAATAGTAATAATAGTGAAAATAAGTCCAACACTAAACACAGTAAAGATACTAATACTTTTAATCACAATCATAAACCTTTAAAAAATAATAAACATAAGAATAATGAAAGAAATCATCCAAATGCTGACTATAACAACAATAATGAAAATAGTAGTCTTCTTAACAAAAACAGCAATGATAGTAATCATCGTAGCAATAACAATAAGAAAATACGAATTATGAAAATGCTGGTGCCATGCTTAGTACTCGTGCTAGTATTATGCTTACTATAAAGTTGGATTGCAGTATACAAACTTATATGCTACGTCGTATGAAAGTTTGGAGACTTCACGAGCTGCAGAAGGGCGGCGCCAGTGTACTGGGAGAACTTCAGCACCGCGCGAGAGCCGTAGGGACGCCTAAAAGGTTGAGCGTGCTTGAAGTACGATTAAGGGTTTGGGGTTTAGCATTTTTACAACTGCTGCTTCCCAAATGTAACGCCGGGTGCGGCGACAAAGAAGTGGGGTTTATAGGGTTTGGGGTTTTGTGCTCAGCTAGGATCAGCGACAAGGAGCCTTGGCATGGTGGCTAGATTCTCGAGGAGTCCAGAACATGCCTTATAAGGATAGGAATAAAGATAATAATCATGATACTGATAAGAAGAAGAATAATAAGAATAACAACAGAAGAATCGTAGTAGCAATAATAATAATAATAACAATAATGATAATAGTAGTCCTGGTGCAGCAAAGTCTCTGAGAAGCGACGATGATGTCCTGGGGGTTCTCAATGGCCACGATCCTCAGTTGCCAAAGGATTACAGTACCTTCTTAACGTTGCAATTCCAAGACTCTAAACAACAATCAAAACACCAAAGCCCTAAGTTGTAGGATCTTTATAGTTCGCTTGTAGTAACCCATGAAGGCAGGTAACATTTAAAGAAACCCTAAACGCTGCCAAATTGGTGGCTGCAAATGGTCTCCTTGCCAGCCTCGACACTAGTGTACCAGCCACTCCTGCAAACCCTACTAGTATAAACCCAAAACCCATTCAACATAAACTTGTAGCAACCCTTAGAGCAAACCTCATAGTCACCGGTACAGAAACTTTCATAGTAACCCTGATGGTAACCCTTCCTGTGACCCTGATGGCTTATAGTACCCCTTGTACCAACCCTGGTGGAAACCCTTATAGTAGACCCTAAAGTCTCTTGATAATTGCAAGCTCTGACTGTAACCTGTGGGAGCCCGACACTTGGTGTTTAGGTTTCAGATTTAGGGCCTGCAGAATTGCTTGGAGAGTTCTGCCAGAGCCCGAAGCAGTCTTATGAAGTTAGTGCTACCCACGACCTATATGGAGTCGAGCATCGAGTATATGTATATATATGTATATATATATGATGTAAATATCAAGAATCAAGGACCTATGAGTTACATTTACCGCAAACCGCTCAAAACAGCTGCAACACAGAATGCAGCTTGCATCCCAGGGGTCATGCGTGCTGCCACCATCAGCTTCTCCCACGTCTTTCCTTGCTTGACCCATTCACAGGCATTAACAGCGAAACGTTTCCCTGCGTCTCCCTTCGTGTCTCGATCATGCTTCGCGACCAGGCCTGCCAAAGACGACTCGACAATCGCTACGGCCAGTGCTTGAGGAAACTTGAATCAGCTATGTTGGTGGTTGTCAAAATTAGGGTCCCTTTTGAGGTCCCTTGAATATTAGGTGCCGTATTATTTAGGGTACCCAGAAAGGGGCCCTAACTTTGACAACCATGCATGTGGACATTATGCGGGTGAGATTCCCAGGTGGATGATGTGGATGCCCTCGACAGTGCGGCGGAAGATGTATCCTTGGATGTCTCCGCAACCTCTGATCCCAGTCGCAAGACCTTTTGCTCACTGGTAAGGGATAATGAATGGCAACATTAGAACAGGGTTTTGGGGGATATCATACTAAAATTGTAAAAGGAGCCCCCAAAATAGTATGGGTAATTATTAAAGAGTGCAAGTCATGCATAAACAAACTGTATACTTATAAGCTGAACGCACAGCATGACCTAGGAAGAAAACGGACAACCATACTTCACACGGGAAGAAGCCAAAGCCCGTCAGAGGGATGTCAAGGGGCGCTTCATGCGGAAGTCCACGTTGCGGGTGCCGAGGTGCGTCTTGCACACCTTGTCTCCGGGTGTCTAGAGGGTTGCTGCATTGGGGGGAGCGATGCGCTGCTCGGCAATTAGTAAAGGTCCTGTGGCGGTTCCCAAGTAGTAGCAGTAGTGGTTTTCGGCGTGGCCGTGGTACTAGTGGTGGTTCAATAGACAAACGGAAACTCTGGTAAGGAGACCGCTACAGCAATGCTCTAGCAGCAACACTGGCATGCATGCAATAACAGCGACATGGATCCAGCACAAACGGCCGGAGCCACAACACTATCTGGCCATTATCCACCTATCTACTTATCTATCTACCTATGTCTATCTACATCTCTCTCCTCCCAGGCTTACGGGGCGAGTTAAGCCCCCGGGGCACTAGGGCCCGCCCGCCTCTCTCTCTCTCTCTCTGCCTGTCTGCACAAAAATCTGCTTCCAGCGCTTTCTGCCAGGTGGCCAACATCATCTGAACATCCTCCTCCTTTGTGTGAGCCATGTTTTGCTGTGTATAAGGGCGGTCTGCGTGAAGCTGGTTGAGCCAAGTGCTGCCTTCGTGCGGAGCGGCATGGCACCTTCCTCAAGCGAAGCGCGTTCCAAAGTCCTCGAATGCCTTATCTCTGTCACTGCTGTGTCTTGGCTTGTGGACTGGAAATTCAAGATGGCGCCTGATGGAAAAGGTACTTCTTCTGAGAACACTCGCTGAAGAACTGGATGTAGATTTCGTGGAAGTTCGCCTGACCGAGACAACAGAAACTTGACACAAACCTCCCCATTCACTGATTGCGTTGTCAGTGAGCTTCACAGATCTCACCTGCCTCACGCGTCACACGCCGGCTGACGGTATAGTAGCACAGCCAGCGGTAGTGCGCGAACACGACCTCTCAGCTCGCTGCGAGACAAAGTGCAAGCCTACTTCAACTCGGATGAGCAAACTGCCCGACCTGTTCCTCTGAGTTCAGATGGCTTACCTTTGGTTAGTAGAGAATGGAGGAATGGTACTAATAGTAGTTATACTGGTACCCCATTCCTCCATTCCTTACTAACCAAAGGTAAGATGGAGGAAAACAAAGGGCAACGCTGCAAAGCAAAAAGCAGTGTCCCCCTTTTTGGTCCTTGCTGTGCGAAAGGATGAGGCAGCCGCATGTCACCAACCACATCTGTTCAAAACACTGCCCTGGCTGTGTTTGCTTCCAGCAGCGCTACTACTTGTTCGTCTACTACGTACTGCTACTGCTCCAGCTACTACTACTACTACTACTACTACTACTACTACTACTACTACTCCTACTGCTACTGCTACTGCTACTGCTACTGCTACTGCTACTACTACTACTACTGCTACTACTACTCCTACTACTACTACTACTACTACTACTACTACTACTACTACTACTACTACTACTACTACTACTACTACTACTACTGCTACCACTACTACTAGTACTTCTGCTCCTGCTGCTGCTGCTGCCACTACTACTACTACTACTACTACTACTACTACTACTACTACTACTACTACTACTACTACTGCTAACACACTGCTACCACTACCACTACTACCACTATTACCACCACTACCACCACCACCAACACCACCACTACTGCTACTACTGCTACTGTTAGTATTTTTACTACTACTACTACTACTACTACTACTACTACTACTACTACTACTACTACTACTACTACTACTACTACTACTGCTACTACTACTACTACTACTTCCCCTGCTGCTACTACTACTACTACTACTGCTACTGCTACTGCTACTGCTACAGCTACTGCTGCTGCTACTGCTGCTACTGCTACTACTGCTACTACTGCTACTACTGCTACTACTGCTACTACTGCTACTACTGCTACTACTGCTACTACTGCTACTGCTACTGCTACTGCTACTGCTACGACTACGACTACGACTACGGCTACGACTACTACTACGACGACTACTACTACTGCTACTACTCCTCCTGCTACTACTACTACTACTACTACTACTACTACCACTGCTACTACTCCTCCTGCTACTACTACTACTACTACCACCACGATGACCAACAACTGCTAGAACGATGACGACGACTGCGACGACGACGAGTCTCTGCTGATGCTCCGGCGACAGTCGCTGCTCAGCTTCGGTCACCTGCAACTGCCACTATAGCACTGCGTCATCCTCAGCCCCCATCCTTCTGTTTGCTTCGGAGTGCCATCTTCACCACCTACTACTACTTTAGTAGTACTGCTGCTGCTACTACTACTACTACTGCTACTATATTTTAGTCAAGACTTCAACTATTGGTGACTGGCATCGCCAGGTGTAATTCTGTACCTCGCTCTGCATCAAGTTGACTTGCAGACTTTATTCAACACATCTTACCTTTCGCTCAACCACATTCAACAACTTTGTACAGGTCGTCAAACCTAGGGTTTAGGGCTTAGGGCAGCACGTTCGGCAACTTTGTACAATTCGTCAAACACATCTTGGTCGCCCGCCTTCTGCTGAAGCATGATCACCTTTTCGCTGATGTTGTCCTGAATGACTGGTAGCTAGAATGCACATGCACGGATAGCAGGACGAAGCCCCAAACCCCTAAGATTACATCGGCCACGAAATGCACTCAACTAAACCCGCAACAAACTCAGACAAGCCCAAAGCTCGCTCCAGACGAAAACCTGTGCCCATCCCTCCCGGAACACCGGGAGTCTGTTGCTACCCAGAGATGTTCCGCTGCCTGGCTCAAGCCGTTGAATATCGAGTGAACGACATCTTTCACCTGAGTTGATGAGACCAGGGCTGTTCTGTTCTGTCATCGACTCTTGGTATAGTGTGTTGTATTCTGACATATTTTACGTGTTGCTAATTAAGTTCTACTATGCTAGACTATACTGTACTGTTTCGCATTCTACTAAGCGCTATATTGAATTACAATACAATGCTCCATATGCCGTTGGCTTGGTTGCAGCACTGCCCATGTGGGACATGCCAGAACTCGACATAAAGACCCGCGGAAACTCTGCTGGTAATAAACTAGCCATCGAGAATGAAAGCCTCAGAGGCCCCCGTGGTGCAGATGCTGAAGCTTGTCCTGAGAGGATGTACGTAACAACAAAGACACATACAGCATCATGCCATAATGCGGACATGTGGGTTTCGCACCTCAAGATGGCAAGAAATGCGAAACAGGAAGCACTAAACCCTAAATCCCTACATCCGAAGCCCTGAAACCTAGGCCCTAATTCGGATAGGGTTGTGGGGGTCATTATACAATACTTATAAAAAGGAACCCGCAAAATAGTATTGGAAATTATTAAAGCCCCTATACTAAACCCTTATAGAACCCTTATAGGATCCCTTTGAAGAGCCCTTTAAAGGAACCCTATTCTATTTATTGGGGCCCCTATGTTAGATACCGCCCCATCTTCCAGGATTGGCTTCCGACACTCTGCCCTAAACCCAAAACCCAAAACCCTAAACCCTAAATCCTAAACCCTAAACTAAATTGGCATCCATTTCGTCGCCAAGTGTTTCGCTTCGTGACAGTCCGCAAGACCGATTGCATAAACCCTAAACCCCAAGCCCGATGACAGCTTGGCTCCCGACACTCTGCGGAGGATCGTCCATGGGCGTCTCCGGAGTTTGAAGCAACTGGTCTACCTCCATCACTTAAGGTTTGGGGCCTTGGGGGTTGTGTTTAGGGTTTAGATAGAGTTCCCTTTAAAGGGCTCCGTAATTATGATAAGGAACCCCCAAAACAATACTGGTCTACCTCCATCACTTGGGAGTTTCCGAAAATCAGGGGGTACCTTATGCTTCCTTTAAAGGGCTACTATAAGGATACGATGAGGGTTCCTTTAAAGGGTTCTACAAGGGAGTTTGGGGCCACTTCTATAGGGCCTATATGGGAGTTTCCGAAAATAGGGGACCCTAAATATAGTACCCTAAATAATAGGATCCTTATTATAAGGACCCCAGAATATGGTACCCCTAATTTCGGAAAAAACCACTTAGGGTTTGGGGCTTAGGGTTTTGGGCTTTGGGTTTAGGGTTTAGGGATTTAGGGTTTAGGGTTTTTGGGTTTGGGGTTTAGGGTTTAGGGCTGAGGCTTTAGGACCTCAGTCACTCGGCTTAGGGTTTGGGGCTTGGGGCTTAGGGTTTATATAGGTGTTGTGCTAGAATAGGGTTCCATTTAAAGGGCTCTATAATTATAAGAAGGAGCCCCCAGAATAATACTGGTCTACCTCCATCACTCGGCTTAATATAGTAGCCTTAATAATTAGAATAGGGTTCCCTTTAAAGGGCTCTGTACAAGGGCTACTATAAGGGTACTATAATATAGGGGCCGTACTGTTTAGAATAGGGCTTTGGGGCCCGTTACACTGCCTCCATTTCTCGGCTTGGGGTTTAAGGTTTAGGGCTGAGGCTTAGGGTTTTTGTTGAACTCCTTTTCTCAAAAACCTTATAGGGTTTAGGGTTGAGGCTTTAGGGTTGAAGCTTTGGGGGCACTCATTAGGATCTAGTTTTAATGTAAATTAGATGAAGGCGGATCCGCGAAACACCAAGGCGAACGCATCCCATGCGTCTGTGCAAAGATACGAAGCCCTGCAGCGCTAGAACTTGGAGATCTTCCGATCCGAACTGTTAGAACACAGAGGTTCGGGTTTGGGGTTTGAGGGTTGAGGGTTGAGGGTTGAGGGTTGAGAGTTTAGAGTTTAGAGTTTAGGGTTTAAGGCTTAATTTTTAGGTTCGGTTTGGGTTTGAGGTTTAAGGCTTGGAGTTTTGTGCAGCCGAAACCAAGAGAAACGCGTCCCTTGCCGCGCCGTCCAGCCCGTGAAGTTCTGCTGCGCCGGTGGCTGGTCTCATTTCAGGGTCGGGTTTGCGGTTTAGGGTTTGGGGCTGGGGGTTTCGAGCGCAGGGATGGGGGATCTCAGATTTGGCTCGTTCACAAATCTCCACGCAAGGCAGATGTTCATCGTGCGCCTCGTTCCCTTGGGTGATCCATTAGCCCTCTGTGGCTTTCTGCCTGAAACCTAAAAATCCTAAATTAAAGGAGGCGGCGGCGGGTTGAGCTCTTTGGGGTAAAGGTGGGGCAAGGAAAACCCTCCCAGCCGCAACCCGGAGCTGAACGGAGTATCGCGGCTCCCTAACAAAACCAATCACAACAATAGTCATAAGCATCAGCAGTTATGATGAAAATTCATAGTTCTAGTAGTAATTACAAATAACAAGACTAAAACTAATGAAAACAGCCTGGCAGTAATAACATTTGCAATAGTAGTAGTAGTAGTAGTAGTAGTAGTAGTAGTAGTAGTAGTAGTAGTAGTAGTAGTAGTAGTAGTAGTAGTAGTAGTAGTAGTAGTAGTAGTAGTAGTAGTAGTAGTAGTAGGTAGTAAGTAGTAAGTAGTAAGTAGTAAGTAGTAAGTAGTAAGTAGTAAGTAGTAGTAGAGTAGTAGTAGTAGTAGTAGTAGTAGTAGTAGTAGTAGTAGTAGTAGTAGTATAGCAGTAGTATAGTAGTAGTAGTAGTAGTAGTAGTAGTAGTAGTAGTAGTAGTAGTAGTAGTAGTAGTAGTAGTAGTAGTAGTAGTAGTAGTAGTAGTAGTAGTAGTAGTAGTAGTAGTAGTAGTAGTAATAGTAGTAGTTGTAATTGTAGTAGTTTAGTAGTAGTAGTAGTAGTAGTAGTAGTAGTAGTAGTAGTAGTAGTAGTAGTAAGTAGTAGTCGTAGTAGCAGTAGTAGTAGTAGTAGTAGTCAGTAGTAGTAGTAGTAGTAGTAGTAGTAGTAGTAGTAGTAGTAGTAGTAGTAGTAGTAGTAGTAGTAGTAGTAGTAAGGATACACATCACAATAACGATTAATTATCATCATAATGACAACCTGGCCATGATACCAGTTGCAATAGTGATTGTGAGGATAAGCATCGCAATGACAACAAGAACCACAATACTGAGCAATTACCATAGTGATTGTAACAATCAACATACCCGCAGCGACTTCATAATCATAACAATAGTAATAGTCATGTGCTCTTCTCGTAGTGGTGTTCTCTCCTGACGAGAAACTCCCTGGTGCGAGTTTTGTAAGATCCTGGCTGACCTGCTGTGGCGGAGGCGGGCCCTCTGCCTCTGTCAAGAAAGAGAGCGACTCGGATGAGGCTTTAGAGGTTTAGGGTCTGGGGGTTTAGTGGTGGAGGGGTGGGTTGAAGGCACCAGGCACGGATCTACGAAGCACGGTCGCAAGGGTCTGCGGACGTTCCACTTAAATCACAATTGCGGCTGGGCAAACATGAATCTGCCCAACTCATCCCGGACGACCAAGAACTCTCAGAGGCCGAACCCCGGAACCTTCGGCTACGCAACAGCGGCCTGTCGCTCCTTGACCGCCGGGACCCTGAGCCGCTAACCCCGAAATCCCTAAAACCCAGGACTCCTTCACCCAAACAATACTCCGCCCCAAGCTCATAACCTATGACTTCCCACTGAACCGTAAACCCCCTACCAAACCCCCAAAAGTTCTCAGATTGCCTGCCTTTGCCTTGGGCGCAATCCGCTGCTGCCCGGGAGGTGGCGGCCTGGGTGCAGCATCTCATCGCTTTACCGGTGAAGGGGTGCAGGTTTACTTGGAGGGGCAGGGCGCTTAGTAAGTAGCTTTATAAGTAGAGTTATGAGTACCCGAAATGGAGTTACCCCAATTATAACCCTACTTATAAACGACGGACTAAGTCCCCTGCCCCTCCAAGTAGGGTTCAGGGTACAGGATTTAGGGCTGAGGTTTAAGATTTATTGTACAGGGTTTAGGGCCCGGGGTGCGGGGTTTAGCGGTTTAGGTGTTGAGGCTTTGGGTTTAGGGCTGAGAAGGCTGTAAATAAAAGCAGGGAAAGTTGAAGCTCGGGTTTGGGCCCTGTTGTCGGCTCAGGGGGGTCATCTTACCTTTGGTTAGTAGGGAATGGAGGAATGGGGTACAAATATAACTACTATTACTACCATTCTTCCATTCCCTACTAACCAAAGGTAAGTTATAGGATTCTTAAGGCCCCTATATTATAGTACCCTTATAGATCCCTTATAGTAACCCTTATAGATCCCTAACCGATGGTAAGTCATGGGGGTCTGCGGTTCAGGATTTTGGGCCTGGGGTTTAGGGGATTGATGGTGGAATACTTGCGGGCAGAAGCTTTGGGCAGAGCTTTAATGTAAGGCCCTCCCTAAACAGAATAGTAATAGGATTTCCGGGTCCTTGATAAGTATATAATTCAGGACCACGACGGGGCACTGTACAAACTGTTCCGACCCTTAAACATATCACACGGTGCACAACCAGCCTAGAGCCTGAAACCCTAACATCAGAATGGTCTCCGCGTGAGACTGTAGCGATTCTTCATTTCTCGCTTCCTGGTAGGCCTGAGACTCCCGGCTTTGAGTGGAATCACGGTTTCGGGTTCAAACGCTGCATCGCCGCTGTGGTCCGTCGTCGTCGCCGCTGCCGTCGTAGTAGTAGTAGTAGTAGTAGTAGTAGTAGTAGTAGTAGTAGTAGTAGTAGTAGTAGTAGTAGTACTAGTAGTACTAGTAGTACCAATAGTAGTAGTAGTAGTAGTAGTCGTAGTAGTAGTAGTAGTAGTAGTAGTAGTAGCAGTAGTAGCAGTAGTAGCAGTAGTAGCAGCAGTAGTGTAGTAGTAGTAGTAGTAGTAGTAGTAGTAGTAGTAGTAGTAGTAGTAGTAGTAGTAGTGGTAGTGGTGGTAGCAGTAGTAGTAGTGGTGGCGGTAGCAGCAGTAGCAGTAGTAGTAGTAGTAGTAGTAGTAGTAGTAGTAGTAGTAGTAGTAGTAGTAGTAGTAGTAGTAGTAGTAGTAGTAGTGCTTGTTGTTGTAGTGGCAGCAGCAGCACTAGTAGCAGTAGCAGCAGTAGTAAAGTTAGATTTAGAATTGCCACCAGCCCACCAAACCCCTGAACTCTTAACCCAAGACTCTACTACGAGTAGCAGAACTATGCTGAACTTAGACCTGTAGCAAAAAAATACCATTTTTGCTATATCTTAGGGATTATAATATCCAACGATTAATCAGAAACACTTATATCTAAGTGCCCCTAAGAAAAGGGCGCTAAGGTGGCGGCGGCGGATTCTGTGGAGGGCCCGCCATGCTTGGGGGCGGCGGCAGGCCAGCAGGGACCTGGCGAAGAAATTTGGAGGGTCCAGGGCTCAGCGTGTGTGGGCTTCAGGGTTTGGGGTTTGGGGGTTCTGGGTCTAGGGTTTAGGGGTTGAAGGTTTAGGGTTTCGTTTTGGGTTTAGGGGTGTAGGCTTGAGGTTCTTCATTAGGTTGCTTTTTTGCGGCGAATTCACGCGGTTGTAGAGCTCAGGGCTTGACAAGATCAGTGGTATCTTGTCATACGAGGCCCTGAATTCAAAATATCTTGCGCAGTTCAGGGCCGTGGGTGTAGGCTTCATGGGTCAAGAGTATGGGGGTTGAAGGTTCATGTGTTTAGGGGTTAAGGGTTTTGGGCTTAAGGGTAACGGGTATTTAGGAATTTAGGATTCACAGCTATGTGGGGTTCTCAGGCTTAGGGTTTCCGTGGTGCTTCTGAAATGATTTATGGTTCGCGCGATACCCTACCCTAAACCGTAAACCCTAGCACCCCAACACCCTGACCTAACGTAAGAAGCCTGAATATCTC